ACACATTTGGCATTATAGGGTTAAGACCCCCAAAATAGCTTTAAAAGTCCCCAAAAACAGTTTTAAAAGCCCCCAAAAAAGTTTTAAAAACACAAAAAAAACAGCTTTAAACCCCCCCAAAACAGCTTTAAAAGCCCCAAAAACTGTTTTAAAAGCACAAAAAACAGATTTAACCCTTTAAAGCCCGATCCAAGAAAAATAGGAAGAATATTGTTTTTTTTTAGTCTGAAGTCTTTCTTTGGCCCCTCAACAACATATGAAGAAAAAAACAGAAATTATTTTGATCAAATTAGCGTGCAATAAGTCAAAAATGTATGTTGGGGTAGTCTTCTACTGGCTGTTATCAGGTATATCTGAATGTGTACAACAGGGGTTTGAGCAAAGCTTTTACCACTGAATGATGCAAAAAGTCTCAGATCCAAAAGACTTCAGAAACCGGATCAAATATGACACATTTGGCATTATAGGGTTAAGACCCCCAAAATAGCTTTAAAAGCCCCAAAAACAGTTTTAAAAGCCCCCAAAAAAGTTTTAAAAACACAAAAAAAAACAGCTTTAAAAGCCCCCAAAACTGTTTTAAAAGCACAAAAAACAGCTTTAACTCTTTAAAGCCTGATCCAAGAAAATTAGGAAGAATGTTGGCTTTTTTTTGGTCTGAAGTCTTTCTTTGGCCCCTCAACAACATATGAAGAAAAATCTGGAGTCAGGCTGTTTGCAGCTAATCTTTTCTATGTGTTGAACTCCCATTCTGCTCTGTTGGACAAGGACAGAACGGAGCATAACCCCCCCCCCCCCCCCCAAGAGGACCAGGAACCTGGTTTTCATGGATTCATGGACGACACTGGAGCTAAATGAGAGGAAACTTGAAAGACTTGAAACAAAGAGCACGAACCGCATGAGTCAAACTCAGGCCGAGATAATCTGTTTCTAATAATAATGGTCCGTCTATAAATATCTGGCCTCCATTTTCTAAGATGCTCATTCCCACTGGAGCTGTGAAGGGCTGGATGCTGTCCCAGCCGAATCCCAGCATGCACTGCTACAACGCCTGTGCATCCGAATGAATGGCAGTGACATAAAGTGTTAGCTTTCAGATGCTAACACCTGAAAGCTGGACAAACAGAGGAAGCTACGGAGGGCAGAGGAGCTTAAACAGAGTCTGTGTCTCACAGGGCCGTGTTCACAATACCTAAAACCTAAAAAAAACTTTAAAAAAAAAGAAAGTTTAACTGAAGAGATCATAAAACCTGGCTGCTCTTTTTAACCCTGTCAGTTCCTGATTCGGTGGTTTTAACCAGCTTGATCACAAAATTAAATCAGATTTTTTGTGTAACTACTGAAGATTAATATTACATTATGTTTCATGCTATTTTAATGAGCAACGAGTTGGTCAAAAGGTGTCAACAAAAGCTCTGAATCACAGAGAAGAAGCAACATTAAACCACACACAGACACACAAACCAACATCTTACAGAGCGTCCACATGGGGCACTTTCAGGGTTCAGAGAGCACTTTTTTGTTGATCCTGTGGGGCCGTTTTAGGACTTAAATCAAGTCAGACTAGGCATGTCCCGATCCAGCTTTTTTCTCTTCCGATCCGATCCCAATCCCGGCCTATCAGAGCATGTACTAAAGTCTAAAGTTATTAATCTACTTACTTAGTTGTCAGACTCATGTTGAACAGGGATTTACTCTGATAACAACTTAATGGTTAGGACACAGACCTGTGGGTTACAGATGCTAATGCTAATGCTAATGCTGGTGTGGGATCAGACTCATCTGTCAAGTTCCACTTCCCACAAACCATTTCAGGCGGACG